AGATCAGACTGCCGTTCATCACATTGTTGTACAAGGGAAAGGAAAAGAAGTGTACGTGGAGAACTAGCTATATAGGCAAGAGCCCAGCAGGCCAGTTCGTGCGCGCGCACGTGAGACTGCACGTGACTGCATAACATGTGACCAGTGCGTGAAATGCATAGCTTTGAGCTATGGCACCAGCTCTGGTATGGCATATGTGCAGTTAGTGCAGTGCTGTGACAAGGGCAGTGTTCTGGGCTTGGAACAGTAGTTCAATTCAGCTATTAAACTACTTTGGTCTCGAAGGCCTTGTTAAATCCTTTCAAGCCTTTCATTCAGGCTGGGCTTCCTGGACTTCTTATGCCAAAGCCTTCCTTCCTTTTGATAGGTACGTACATCTTCCTATTGGCCTAATCTAACTACAAGGCCGCAGAGCATCTATCTAGTGCACACTATTGTGCTTACATGTAGATCTTCCTAAATATTTTCCTCCAGTGTTCTTCCTTTCTAGTTTGGCTAGCGCAGTCTAACGTGGAGGCAATGCAAGCGGGAGTTGTGTCGTTGGCTGGAATACGCCGAAGGCGCTGAGGGTACTAAGGTGATTCCGGATAAGTCATGCCGTTGAGGAAATAAACTTCCCGAAGGTGTAGTGTTGTCGAATGTCCGTATGACAAGTGCAACCACATCATAGGCTAGCTCTATGATAATTAGCTAAGTTAACTATAGAGAAAAAAAGAAAGTAAGTTTATTGGAGAGTAATTAGCTAGCTTGTTAGCTAGCTTATAATAGCAATTAAAACCTTAGGGTTTAAGATTCCTCCTATATTATAGGCTGCACTTAGTTATTATTCATTTGGGTATAAAAATAAGCAATTATAATTCTTCAATTGCTAATAAAAAGAAAGAGTAATTATAGTAAATAAAGAAAATACTATAACGGTTAATAATACTACAATTATATATATGTAATCAACCACGTCAAATTCTACAATTTCAACAATTCTTATAAATTTGAACAGTTTTATGATGGCAGCCTTGCAGTTGTGCCTCTTGACTGCCATCATGTGACGAACGGCAGTCTGACCTGCCTAAGTGGGATAGCTGAAGGTAAACACTACCAGAAGACGTTCGGTGAAGCTAAAGAGTTCACAACAAGTATGCTCGTGTTGATACTAGTCTTGGTGATAATGATCAATTGACTACTGTCAAACTATCTGACAATCTGAGTTCTCCCGTAGTCCCTTTATACCTGCTCGCCCTCTGCGAGATATCTGTCTCCGGATGCTCTGGTCGAGCCCCATAGGTCTATCTAATATGTGGTGGCTCACTGGGGTGTTGGCTCACCCTGGAGGCCGTGAGCCTTGTTGCCGCGTGAGCCTACTGTCCTGACCCGTCACGCTTATCGTGAGCCTTCCTATGTCTTAGTGTTACACGGTCTAACCCTTTTTGGTTGTCTGTGTTACCAGCCTCGTGGTTGGCTCGTGTTCCCTCATAAGTTCGTAACACATCACAACTATATAAGACTACTTAAGAGATCGAATTGCCAGCTTTGGTTACTTGTATTCTTTTGAAACATAGCTTAGTAATGTAGTGGTCCGCTAGCGCCATGATAAATTTCTATAAATACTCTCTAATAAACGCTAAAGTAGGCCATGGTCTAGGTGAGCCCAGCTAATTAAAGCTCATTACGAGCAGTTTATACACTAGCTTGTAAAAAGATTTACTGAGACCCATTTACTGGCGAGGTTTACAGCGTACCAAACGCGCCCTTAGAGAGAATCATAGACCCCGACTTCAGGTGGTCTACCTAAGCCAAGCAGCCGGATAGTCTAGCGAACGGCGGACAGCGCCCCACAACAACTTCGGCTCGGCTTCGGCGCCGTAGTGACCCACAATTTCAGGGGCACTTTGCCAAGACACAAATAAACTGCCTGTTTTGTCTTGTCTTGATGTTCACCTCATTTGTGGCCCTTCGAGCGCCTCCAAGCTCCAACAGATGAAGGTACCGGGACACGGAAGGGTATCAAAGAGACCGCCGTGCTGCTGTTGTTTCGCGGCCATCGAATTGGCCCTGCTGGCATGGGTGGCTGGCAAGCGTGGAGGGTTTGCCATGGCCTTGACGATCATGAATGCGGATCATCATCCACCCAGCCGGAGGAAGATTGACAGCCAGATTTGCTCATTGGACACCCAGAAGGTGAGGATGGGCGGAGGCGAGAGACTTCACTCTCTACTCTCTTTAGACGTTTGATGAGAATCATACAGAAGGATGGGTCCCAAGGGCCATTGGAGAGCTAGAAAATGTGGGACGGGAAGGAAAGAAAGTTGGCGGGGAATTGCCCGTTTGCTGAATGAGAACCGAACTTTGGTGGGGTTGGTGCGTGTAACACCGTACACCAACCATACACTGCCATAGCGTAAGTTTGGCGTAAATTACCATGGTACACTACACCTTCACCACTACAGTATGGTAAATCGCGCCAAGCTGGAAATCACTTTACGCGTGTGCGCAGGCAGTCACGTCTTCCGACCAAACCTCCATCGCGGTATCATCCAAACATACCCAACAATGAGGGCAGTGACGTCAACCTAGATTCGCAACCGACCTGAATATTGCAGTATCAAACGTCCGTGGACAGTTATTAATGAGCTTAATCGTGCCCAACACTCGAATCTGGCGATAGAATGGCCTCAGATGGCGCCATCAAGGCCATTGACCCGAGCACGGTTCGTCCATTCTCAGATAGTAGTCCGATAGTGGAAAGTTTTGCTGATCTTTTTATCCGCCATTCAGATTCACCAGATCCAGTCTGGTCAAGTCATCGTTGACCTTTGCTCTGTAGCCAAGGAACTCGTAGAAAACGCCCTAGATGCTGGAGCGACGACAGTCGGTATGTCCCGAAGTAGCCTGTTCGTGAAAGATGCGCAAACATTGACGAATAACTAGATGTCCGATTCAAGAATCAAGGTCTCGATTCGATCGAAGTCCAGGATAATGGCAGCGGAATATCGTCCAGCAATTACGAGTCGATCGCACTGAAACACTACACTTCCAAATTAGCGACATACGATGATCTTTCAAATTTGCAAACCTTCGGCTTCCGAGGTGAGGCCTTGTCCTCCCTCTGCGCCTTGTCACACTTTACCATCGTGACATGCACCCAGAAAGAGGCGCCAAAGGCTACCAAACTCGAGTTCGAGACATCTGGGAAGCTTAAGAGCACCACCGTTGTTTCGGGCCAGCGAGGTACAACCGTCTCAGTGGAGAACCTGTTCAAGAGTCTACCTGTCCGCCGCCGCGAGCTCGAAAGAAACATCAAGCGAGAATGGGGCAAAGTTGTCAACCTACTCAACCAGTATGCCTGCATTCAAACCGGCGTCAAATTCACAGTGTCGCAACAGCCTACCAAGGGAAAGCGAATGGTCTTGTTTTCAACAAAGGGAAATCCCACCACCCGAGAAAACATCATCAACGTCTTTGGCGTAAAGACTATGACTGCTCTGATCGCCATGGACCTCAGGCTGCAACTAAAACCCACCACTACTACTGGACTCCTGAACAAGGCGCCTGCTGCTCAGGACGAAGACACGACAACAGAAGTTCGCATTTGTGGACACATCTCCCGCCCAGCTCACGGTGAAGGTCGCCAGACGCCAGATCGGCAAATGTTTTATGTCAATGGAAGGCCTTGCGGTTTGCCTCAGTTCGCCAAGGTCTTCAATGAGGTCTATCGATCCTATAACTCGACTCAATCGCCTTTTATCTTTGCTGATATCCAGCTTGACACGCATCTTTACGATGTCAACGTCAGTCCAGACAAGCGCACTGTTTTGCTTCACGATCAAGGGCAAATGCTCGATAATCTGAGGGAGTCCTTGATAGAGCTCTTTGAGCTACAGGATGTCACTATCCCCGTGTCACACATTCAACCGCTTAAGAGCTCCACATTCAGAGGGCCTTCAACAGCCCCTTCGGGATCATTGACCCAAGCTCGAAGGAGAGACAGTAGGGATGCTTCAGAGGAACCGGACAGTCCTTTGCCTTCAGATACACCTGGAAATGGACCGGAAGGCGGCAGAACAACCAGGAGTACCATCAATGAGGACTCGGGTGAGCCCGTGAGCGATGATGAGGCGCCCAGTATCCGGTCTACTGGCTCAAAAGCCCAGGCTGGGCCGTTCAGATCGACACCTGCTAATACACAGGCATCGAATCTACCTTTCACGGTGGCTTGAGCGAAAGTCTGAGGTCCGCAAACAATCACATAAAGCTGCTCCCATTACGAAAGACGACAACAGGGAGAGATTCCTTGCTGAAAAGGGCCCGCAGTCTCCAGACAGGGCTAGTGGAGATGGCCCGAAGGATGCCAAGTCGGACGCCGAACAGGACATTGCAGAAGACAACAAAGATGCGGAGGACGGCTCAAGGACTGGCAAAGTGGTTGATGAGATGGAAATGGACAGAGATGAACCGCCAATTTCATCCATTCCCCCACCGTCTCAGCCACCTATTCCGAAGAGTAGCCTTTTATCGATATCACGTCCACCGAAACGGTTAGCACAAGAGGAGGTGGCAACGATCACTATTGGTGATCATTCCATCACCAGTGTGATTGGCTCATCCAATAAAAGATCCCGACTATCAGAGCGCATGGGGTCGGTCAGTCTTGAGAACTCGCCGAAGAAAGGGGCTAAGACTGTTCCCGTGCCTTCTTTCGGTGGCCGTTTGACTCAGCTGTTTGCTGCTTCAGCTGCTGCATCTTCGGGGTCATCAAAGGGCCTTGAAATGACGACTGAGGATGTAGAGATGGCCGATGAAGAAGAGGACGAAGAACACAGCCAAGTGGACAACGAAGAAGAAAAGGATGATGACTCTGATGAGGAAGCACTTTTCGTGAGCCAAACAAAGGATGTGGGCACAGTGGAAGATGATGCTGTTGACGAAGAAACTGAAAACTCAGCTGATGAGGAGCGCGATGGTCCCACAAGTGGCCAGAACACTCAACGCAGGGCGGAGGACGAAGAGGATGGTGAAACTGAACCTACAGAAGATGCGCCTTCTGAGTGTTGCCACCATGGCGACGATGACGAGGAATACATCGACGAGGATGAGAAGAAGGCTCAAGAAGAGAAGAAGGTGCAAGAGATGATCAAGGCAGCTGAGACGAAGGCAAACGAGCCTACTGAAAAGGGCGAAAAGCGCTCCCAGAGCTTCGTGAAAGGGCGATTCAAAAAGAAAGACTTGACGTTCAATCTCATTCAGCGTGTGAAGACCAGCGAAGACGACATCCGGTCTAATATGGAAGCCTCGGCAAAGTACCTACCCACCGCCGGCAGAGTTGCCTCGTCTACACAAGAGAGCAGCAATGGGGAACAGGCAACAACAACAACAACAACAACAACAACAACAACAACAACAACAACAACAACAACAACAACAACAACAACAACAACAACAACAACAACAACAACAACAACAACAGCAGCAGCAGCAGCAGCAGCAACAGCAACAACAACCACAACCGCCACCCACCGCTAGGCACCGACCCAGCAGATTGGATCTTTCCAAGAACACAAACACCAACAACGGCGTTCCCGGTTCTGCGCGACCCCTCACTGCCCGTGACACTAGCGGACTCGGAATCAAGGAAGTCGGTATCGCTTGTCTATCGCCCGGTTTTGTCACACACGATCCGCTCATGAAGGAGCAAGTACATCGCAGTATGAGTGTGAAGGAGCAGCAGAAGCGGATCATCGAATCCAGGTTACAACAACAGTCGGCCGGCTTCAAGGCCCCTGAGATTCCAGATAGGGATAAGGATGGAGGTCACTTCGCGGCAAAGACACCAGGCCTAGCACGGAAGCGTGGCCCTCCGCCAGGATTGAGCATCGTCGCTCCCTCCCACGAGCAGTTCGCCAACGAAAGGGTTATCCAGTCTGCGCCCCTTGGCCAGTCATTCCCTGGAAGACAGAACCCTCACCCTTTGACCCGCCACCTCATGAACCATAGTTCGAACCTCGCCAGCACATCGCACATCCACCATGTGCCTGCCAAGCAGACGAACAACAGACTGCCGCCGATTTCCGATGTATTTGGCCAGGGCTTGTCTGGCCATCCGGATTCAAGCGGACATGCCCTCTTTGCCAGCCAGAGTCACAGCCATGGACCGCTAGCATCACCTCACCACCCACCGCCGCCTCCACCGCCGCAACCTCAACACCCTACGTCTGCTAGGCCAAGGGAGTACAAGTCCGCCGAGGAAGCACAGCAAGACCTGGCGGCTGGCCGAACAGAACTACTGCCCAAGTATGTACATTATAACAGCAGCAGCAGTCAACACCAACCTCCGACACCGCCATCTCCCCCCAACGGTCCAGCGCATCACCACGCACCACCACCGCCAACATATCTGCCTTCTACGCTCGCATCATCTCAAAGAGGCCCGCCCTCTCATATTAGTAATCATATGACTGACGCCAGCCGAAGCGCCAGCAACAATACTCCCGGCAATAATTACAGCAGCAGCAACATGCACAGCAGCACACTTCCCTCGTCGTCTGCTCCTAAGAGGAGGACGCGGGCCGAGTACGAGGAAGGCGGGAGCCCCCCGCTCGGTAATGGGAGGGCGTCACAGAGGAGGTCAGGGCCGTTTGGCGAAGGAAGAGATAGCCCCGAGACACAAAGGGCGAAGAAGGAGGAGTTCATCAGGCTTTGCGAAAGAGCTTGGGATCTTTTCCACTCCTGATGATACTACCATTACCGCGATATCTCATACCCGCATTATCACAATACCAAATACATAGCTGCACTAATATGGTTCACGCTTTGGCCTCGTTTTTTTCACTTTTTTCTTCTTTACATCACCCTTCCACTATTGTATCCAATAGGGTATCTTTATCACCACTACCACCACCACCGCCGAAACATTTCTCTTTAACCATCATCTCTGTTTTTCTCCTATGTCTTTCAAATTTGGGTGGGTGGCATTGGTATGGCGACCAGGGCTGGCCGGAAATGGGGGCGCGCGTGTGATCGATGTATGGATGGACTGGCTGCTAGGTTTTTAGGTGTTGTTTTCCTGTTCGATTTCATGTAAGGGACGAATGTATTGGACTGGACTGGACTGGGCCGGATTAATCTCTTGGGCGGATGACAATGACGCCCGAAAAGTCGCGACCTTTACTACATTGTAGCCGATACCAAGAGCTATATTCATCATATTTTTGTTCTTTGTGTGTATGTGTCTGTGTTCAGACTATGGAGTAGGAGTAGTTAGGTAGGTAGGTAGATAGATAGATACGTATGCCATGGCAACCATTCTGAAGAGAGAGAGAGAGAGAGAGAGATCCTAAACAAACCTGCTAGTCACTCTATTGCCAGTTTAGATAGTTTTCTATGTCCGGCTCTCAACCTCATTGCTGCGTTCAACGTTGAATAGTACCTCACGTAATGTATGTATCAAGAATACAATGTAGGGAAGACACTTGAAGGAGTAAGTAATGGGACATCAATCTTTTTGAACCAAACAACCCTTCTGTTACTCCATTTATGCTTATGCTAAGGCTACCTCTTCTCTTCTAGTTGTGGTGCCGCTGTTTTATGTTCAGTGTGTTCTGCTTTCCAACCCTTCGCGTCCCCCTACCCTACCTTCCATCACCTGTTATCCTCTCCCTCCGTGCCTCCTAAGCTAGCTGTTCCCTTGCCCTACCGCTTTTTTCTCGTTCATAAGAGATTTACTCTTCGGTGAGAAAAGAAGCATATGCATGGGAATTTAGTTACATATGGGGAAGATACCCAATGGGACGCTCTCATTTTTCTTGCTAGCGCTTCTGATTAAATCTCTTATGGACGAGAAAAAGCGGCATTGCCCGTCCGCCTCAAAGCCCTAGCTCCAAATCAAATCCCCAAGGCTCTCGCTCCAACTTAACCACCCCCCCTGAACATACGCCCTCCCTGCTTCGTTCGTGCCAACCATCGCTTTCATCCCATCTCAGGCCCAGGGGCATAGGTTCGGGTTCAACCTCCCGCCATCTTGAAAACTTCCCTGACCCAGGTAGACCGACCACAAGACTTGTCGCCTCAGTCGTCAAGCTCGTTCTGCTGGAGGGCGATGATGGCAATGGCGATGATAATGACGGTCTGGACGGGCGAAGGTGAGATCGGATGTGGGGTTACAGTTGACGTCAGTCAGCACCGGTGTCGATCTCGAGGATGATCTTGGGGGTCTGTGAGGCGGCGTTGCAGCGTTTGACGTGCAGTGTTAGGCCCTCCATTGTGATCTGCCTTTTGTACGGGAGGGATTGCCAGGCAACTATGCTTATGCTTTTGCGTTGTCCTCCGCGTTCCCGGGGACTTTGTTGTTTGTTAAGGGACACTTTCAAGAGGATGCTGTCCTTCCACTTTGTCTTTGGGTGCTGACAATTGTTATAGCCCGGGCTCGTGTTCCTCCTTGGAACTGAGAATCGTTGGCTGTGATACCGCGATTAACTGCCAGAGCTGAGCTCCGCTTACTCCATGGACGAGTTCCCACTGTCGATATTCTTCATCCGCGCCCTGTTCTCTTCTCCTTGACGTTTTCCAGATGTGCTCGATTCGCCAGGTGCACCTCGAACCCGTCCAACGTCAAACCGGGGCCTACGACATACATTTTGCCGTCAGTCTCGACACCGGATTCTCGGAAGCCACATATACTGAGCATCGGACGGGATTTCTCGAGTCTTTTTCGGCACGATCTTGGCCGCACCAAGACCATCGTACACCACCGCGTTATGGCGCATTATGCAGTTAAAGGAGTCATTTGGGTACTTCTGGTGCAGGGCTTCGAGGCAATTATTGAGCCATTCTGGTATTGGTGGCTATACAAAAAAATTGCATAGAAATAAAACGTAAACTCAATGTTAGTGTTGTCTGCGTACCACGAACGATCCTTGGCCAGGTGTGAACTGGGAGGATATTACCGATGGAGGAAGCGGGTCTCCGTTGGCCGGGGGTGGGGGAGCCGGTACAGCACCAACAGTAGCATCGTCACCACCCGCCGCAGCTCCAGCTCCAACACCGGCCCCGGCGTTCGTCGGCGGCGTCGCAACCTTGGTGGTTAGGTTGTGTTGCGAACCGGCAGCTGGAGTAGTGGGAGGCGGACCCATCGAGCCAGGTAGTGCTGTGCTCGTGGCTCTTGGGTTACCGGGCGTCCCAGAGCCGGACGCAATCGGCGTTGGCGGTTTCGTCCTGCTGTCTCTTCCTTGAATGATTCTCCGCAGTCTGGCAGGGCTGACCCGAAGAGTAACAATGTGTTGCTGTTGCAGAGGCTCCTCAGTCTTTTCACGTGTCGCTTCCCTGCCAAACCTTCGTGACATCCTTGTCTCGTGATGATGAACAATGGTCTCGGGTGTTTCCGATCGCCCGATGTTCGCCATGCGCTGGGCAGCGGCCGTGGCGGCCCCACGCATTCCACGCGTTCGGGCGGTTCCTTGAGGCACTGACATGGCGGGAGAGTCTGGTGCGGAGTCCATGCTGTCTTCTGAATCGGAAAGGTCTCCGTCCCGGATGATGCGCCTGCCCCTTCCCGGCCCACCAGTGGTCGCCACTGGTCCCGTTGTCTTCTTGAAGAGTCGGCTGTCCTCGATATCCCGAACTCCACCGGGAATGACCGAGGATACAATGGCTGTCCGAATCGTTCTTTGCCTTTCCTTGAGGTCGGGCAACTGGGGCCCACCACGTCTGTTGACGGATCGTTTCTGTCTGCGTTGCTCGCGCGAGAACATGGTCTCGGTCCGTTCTAGTTCTGCCTCCGTGTTCTCGTACAGGTAGGGGGCATAGTCCTTTTGCTGTTGGTTGGGTCGCAGCGTGGAGGGGATCGGTGTTGGAAGGAAGGCGGCCGTGAGGTCTGGGTCCTCGATGGGTCGCCCGTCGAAGGGGTGTCCTACACTGTAGAGACTGCGGGTAAAGAGCTGCGTCTGCTCACGGATGCAGTGAGCAATCGCCGTTGTGAATTCTCCCGAAAGAGATAGCTCGTCGGCCATTCTCGCAGCAAACTCCTCTGGCGAGTTCATCGGATTGTTGATATCCCACTCGAATTGGTCCACCAGCGTGTGCTCCTTAATGGTGATATTCAGCTTGATCAAAATCCTCATGTCATCATTCTTGTATGCTGAGTAGGGTAATTCAGGGTCCAACGCGTCCTCTTCTGAATGGACAAAGGGATAAAAGTCCTGGAGTTGCTCCACCATCTGTGTAACCACTTGTTCGTGAACGTGCTTGTCCATGGGCGGCTTCAACCCCATGTCCTCGACCAACTGTGAGGCAAAGACCTCGACGGGAATGAGGCGCTCGTGGAGGTTAAAGGTGAAGGTATCACGTAGTTTCACCTTGTCCCAGTCAACGTCTATCCTGATGGGCACAAGCTCCTCGTGTTGTTCGGCTTGTTTCTTGAGATCTTTGCGACTGAACTTGAGCGGGGGTGTCGTCCGCTTGCCCGGCCGAGGCTTCTGCGAAGGGTATATGATTTTGACGGGCCCGCCTGTTTCTGTAACCCCGTTCCCGTAGCCATTGTAACCCTGGCCGTAGAGCTGAGCTGGAGGTACTCTGTTCCGACTGTCGCGACTGGTCATAGCCTTGTACTGGTCGACCCGTGCCAGCCTGTTGCTCATGTCCTGGTTGAGTGCCTTTTGCGAATCTTTCAGAGCGGCGGCGTGGATCAGGTCGCGCGTAACAAAACGGTCAACCAAGACTCTATTCAGACTGTCCTTGTCGCGTTGGATGACGGGCGGCGTCGCGCCATCTTGAGGGCTGCCAACCTTGGAGGCTGCCGAGGGGGCCTGAGAACCGGAGGCGGCAGGCGTTCCGGAAGCATTGAGCGAAGAGGAGGCATCGGCAGAAGAAGCGCCAGCCTCCGCGCCGGCACTGCCAGAGGCCATGGCCGAGGCAGAAGACAGCGAAGCGGCCATAGAGAGTCGCAGTCGCTATGCGTCGCCGTACCGGTCGGTCGCGTGTTCGATTATAGAGGAAGAAATGAACGATATGGATGGTGTTGTCAATGCTGGGTAGCTAGCTACTGGTAGCTCTGGTCGTGATGATGTTGGTGTAAATCCGAGGAACTGAGGAACTGGACAGGTCGCGTTGTCTCGAGGAAACCTCTTTCGAAATCCCGTCGTTCGCTGGAGCCAGTAGAAGCGGCAGCTGGTTGACGATGTTCCGTCCTGTTTTTCGCGTTTCGTGGTCGTCGGGATGCAATGTAGCCTGAGCTATGCCAATTCTCGTATGTCGTCTGGTGCTTCGTGGTGCTTTTGTTTGTTCTTCCTGTCAGCTTCCAATTTTTTGGGAGAAGGAGATGAGGCTGGGCTGCGGGATACACCACTACTAGTGTGCTCGAGTAAGGTCAGGTCGGTACAACGGGAGGCAGTGGCAGCGAGGCAACTGAACTTTGGACCGCACGGCGCATCTCTCACTGTAACAGATCGGAGGCTGACTGGCAATTGGATGCTTAAAGGTGAGAGCGACCTACCTAGTTGCAGTGTTGTTCTTGACCAATGGAACAACAGCAAAAGACAGCCGTGTCCCAGGCAAGGACGTGTGTCAGTCTCTCCTCAAAGTACTCGATACTCAATAAGCAGCACATATGCCTTGCCATAACAAGTACTGAGGACTTGTTAGCTCATGCCAAAGCAGATCTCTTTCTGCCAGGGCAGTTGTTTCTTGGCGCGCCTGAACCCGTGTCACTGCCATTGTCTGTCTGCGCTTTCAATCAATGGCACCGGCAGAGACTCGCAATGTCGAGGGAGTCCCGGCAGGCTTCTTTGCCCCTGCCACGAATTGTGCTGTCACGAGCCTGCCCCAGAAGAGCAGAACTCGACAGACGGACGTCAACATGTGGACTTGCGCCGATGCAACCGTGGACGTTTGTGGACTTGAGAATCCTCGGCGTGAGCAATTCATCCAAAGTGGTGAAAGGCAGTTAAAGTGCGAAAGAATGCGATGTCAACGCGCTCCTCTGCGACAACTTTAAAGGCCGCCAAAATCGCGGCCGTCGCAATGGAAGTCGCAATAACAATCGCAGAGAGTCGTCCATCGTCATGTCCTGGATTTGGCTGGATCCCGTACATTACCTTAAAGACGGTGGAGCACATAGGCTTCAATCCAATGACAGCAGGCGTGGGCGCTGAGCACTGGGCACTGGGCGAGCACAAGACCCAGACCCAGACCTAGAGAAAGACCCCCTCCCCCGCCTTCACAAAATCCAGCAACAAAGCAAAATCGCACGCATCAAGCCGGCCCACCTCGAAGCTCCCGACTTTGCTGTTTTTCCTTCTTCTTTCCACTCTCCACCATCCACACCCCAAAGGTTGGTACATAGCTTCAACACCCGCCCAATCTTTAACCGTCGTACATTCATTCTAAGCTTCATTTCCCAGTAGACAGTCTATCGTCTGTACAATTGCCCGACATGGCTTCCGAAACCCCCAAGCAGGAGATTGGTTAGTTGCAAAAGAAGCTGAGCTACAAGCATGAAGCTTTCCTCTTCCATTTTCCACATACCTTTTTCAGTCCTCTTCTCCTTCCCTCCTCCAGCTGCGCACTTAGAGAGGTTGGCGTCTAAACTCTCCTATCTTGTTCCTCGTCGTTCCTGGCAGAGCCGGCCCTTGCCTGCGACACACAGGCTCGGGAGCTTGCTTGCTACCGGCTTGCTCTGTTTATGCGCCCATATGCTCTTCAAAGGCTGACCCCTGCTGCTAGACTACTCCCTCAACAACCCCGATACCCTCACCAAGTACAAGACCGCTGCTCAGATCTCTGAGAAGGTCCTTGCTGAGGTCTCCAAGCTCGTCGTCGCCGGCGAGAAGATCGTCGACATCTGCGCCAAGGGCGACAAGCTCATCGAGGAGGAGCTTGCCAAGGTCTACCGCGGCAAGAAGATCACCAAGGGCTTCGCCCACCCCACTACCGTCTCTCCCGCTGCTTTCGTCACTCCCTACACTCCCTTGAGCACCGACGAGAAGGAGGCTGCTGTCGAGATCCAGGCCGGTGAGCCCATCAAGATCCAGCTCGGTGCTCAGATCGATGGCTTCGGCTCCATCATTTGCGACACCGTCGTTGCCCCCGCCAAGGACCAGACCGACGATGTTATCGAGGGCCGCAACGCTGACCTGATTCTCGCCAACTACTACGCCAACGAGGTCCTCCTCCGCCTCATGGTTCCCCCTGGTCTTCTCGCTACCGGTACCGATGAGGAGAAGGCCAAGGCCGCCTCCCAGAAGCCTCCTTCGCAGGCCAAGATCACCGACCTTCTCCAGAAGGTTGTCGGCGCCTACGACTGCAACCTCGTCGAGAGCACCACCTCGTGGCTCTTTGACCGCAACGAGATTGAGGGCAAGAAGAAGATTGTGATTGCCGCTGGCGAGAACACCAAGGGCGAGGGTGTCCCCGAGGTTGGCGAGGTCTGGGGTGTCGAGATGGGCGTCAGCTTGGGATCCGGCAAGGTTAAGCAGTTCGAGAACCGCACTACCCTCCACCGCCGCACCACCACCACCTATGCCCTCAAGCGCCCCAGCTCGCGCAAGCTTCTTTCTGAGGTCCAGAAGAAGTTCGGTACCTTCCCCTTCAGCTTGAGGCAGCTTGAGGACGAGCGTGATGCTAAGTCCGGTGTCATTGAGTGCGTCCGTGGAAACGTCTTCCGCGCGTACGAGGTTGCTGGTGACAAGGACAACTCTCCTGTTGCCAGACTCCTTACCACTGTTGGTACGTATAGAGTCTTGGATGTGTTTTTGTGAACTAGAATTAAGCAGTCTCACTAACTGGTTCAATAGCCATCACCAAGAACGGCCTCACCAAGCTTGGCGCCGCCCCTGCGCTCGACCTCTCCAAGTTCAAGACCGACAAGAAGATCGAGGATGAGGAGATCCTTGCCATCCTTGCCCAGCCCCTCTCCAGGAACACTGGCAGCAAGAGCAAGAACAAGAAGAAGAAGGCCGCCAAGAAGGAGGGCGAGAAGGCCGATGAGGAGTAAATGGGAGTTTGGACATGATTGGCTGTAGTAGTCTGGCGTAGGGATTAATGTGGAAAGCTGGGCTGCTTTAGCTCGAAAGTTGCTGCCTTTCTGGCTATTTCCGGTGCATCTTTTGGGTTGTGGTCTTCGGATGGAGCATTCGGTCCGGCACGCTTTGCATCCCCGTGGCATTACGAGAGGGCAAACCGCAAGCAACAACGGGCTCCATCGGAGACAAGAGGGACTGAAGAAGGTGGGAGGATTCATCCCCATTGATGAGCCTGCACATTGTGATCTTTTTTTTGGCTTATCAGTGCCATAGTTCTGCTTTGGCTCCCCTTTAGCATCCATCGCAAGCGTTCAGCTGAGGCACACCTGTACAAGGCAGGATGTGGCGTTTGCTAAGTGAAATTAGCCAACACATAATTCTGAGTTAGTACTCGAATATCAAAGGAATTGACCAAGAAGAAAGAGGGGAAAAAAAAGAACAAACTGAAGATCGTGAATCTAATGGCGACATCATAGATTCCTTTTTACGGTATTTTTACGAAAAGGCAGCGCCAGTTGGTATACGGAAGCGTACACCCATGGAATTTTTCGGTCTGAAGCCTGATGCACTTGCCATGCAATACGACACTTGCGTGAAACTCGAAGCTCTGCGACTAAAGACAGTGCAAGAGCGTTGGACTCGGCCATTTCCAGAAAGAAATTGCTTCCAATGAATACCTAAATCGGGGGCTATTGCTTTTCGATGGACAATCGTGTCCTGTGGCCATACCGGTATTGATCAGGTGCGTTCTTCTGTATGGGACTTGTCAGGCCGGACGAAAGCATCGCATCGACAGCTTGCAGTACTGTCAATATTTGTGAGATTTCCCCTCCCTACAAATTCCATCCACCCCCTTCTATCACGCTTACACAATACCAACTCCTTGGAAAGGGAAAACAGAACCTACTGCATCCGCCTGAAGAGAGCGTGTTCCCAACAACCATTTTCTCTTTTTTCTTCTTCAAGCACAGCGGCATATGACAGCGACGATTTCATCTACTTACTTTACTCCCAGCAGTAGCCCGCCTGAAAGCAAACTGAAGCCCGTGGTTTGTGTGTTGCCAAAACGGTCAACTGAGAACATCTACCTATCCAGCCTGCAGGTGACCATCAATCACGCAGCATTCGTCGCCACGAAGCGAAATCAGGACCACCTACGAGGTTGGGGTGTTAGCGCAAACTAACGACACGACAAAGGGTTGAATCGTCCAGAGGCGTGCGCAAGGTTCGTGACGTAAACTGGTCAGGAGAAGTCAACAACCCTCCCGGAGGCAGTTCGGAATGGGGGTTTCGGCGCCTACCTATGAATCACAGATCACCATCACCTCACTTCACATCCCACTTGAATGACAAAATAGTCGGGAACCCAAGGTAAAGAGCTCCAGCTATCGAGACATCGGGTGTCCTTCACTCCCGCTCCGGATTGAGCTCCAGACCCTCCAGCTTGTGCATCGGGCGTCCGGTTGCTATTACCTACCTTAGGCTCTAGGGCAGTGAAGAGACGGGAAGCCAGGGGCACCTCAGTGCCGGGAAGGAATCCGGGCATTAGGGGCAATAGCCCGTCAGCTGAAACTCAGTCTTAGGAGCTATTTTGCGATAACAACAGCGTTGGAGACCCCCTGAAGCGGCCATTCTTCTGGCTACTACAACCCGCTGAAGGGCTTGCTGCAAGCGCTGCAGCACCTTCGATTGCTCCTCCCTCCACTACCTCCTTATCCAAGCATCCCTCCTTTTCCCAGGCCGACCTGTTTACAACCGTGAGTCCGGCCCCTTCCTGCCGTCACCCCCAACAACAGCAACTATCGCACTCCTTTCCCAGCTTCACCTTGCCCTCCCCCATAAACTTCTGCCCTTTTCCACGCGTGCCGTCGCTTCTGGCGCTATTATTTTGCCATATTCGTCATTTTGGTCGCAGAAGCAGGTAATGCATCCAAGGCCTCCTATCGGACACTTATCGCGACGATACTAACTGGCTGGTATAGGCCCGAGTGCACACACCGAAAGGGCCTCCCCGGGTGGTGGTTCAATCGAAGCCGCCCTAACACACCTTTCCGCACTTGGGATTTTGCAGAAGGGGGCGAACCCGCGGTCCGTTCGATAATATCGTAGCCCACATCTCGATCTGCCTACGGCCTCCGGCTTGCGCCCCGCGCATCCCTTCACCAACACAACCACCCGTCGAGGACAAGGAAAGACATATCTTTCTGGCCATACCACATGGTTTCACCAAGTACGAGAAGCACGCGATCGAGATATTCTAGTCCACGCCAAATACCATCCGGCTCTGTTGATCCGATCAGGGGGCAACGTAGTGCTAGCGCGAGTGGGAGTGGGAGCGGTGGGAGTGGTGGCAGCGCCAACGCCAGCAGCAGTGGCAGCGGCAGCGGCGGAAAGAGCAAAGGGAACGGAGGTGGAAGCGGCAACAGCAAGAGCTCGGGAACAGAGGGCCAAAAGACGTTCATGGATCGCTGGTTGGAACCACCCGTGCAGAACAAGCCCAGCTTTGCCGACGCCGGGTTGGTACGCCACGGCGTTGTCGAAGGAATGGCGCCCTTGGGGACCATGCCCAAGGCGGGCTTCTTCAAGAAGGCTACACCTGCACCACCACCGCCCGAGCCGAAGCCTTTCAAGACGACGAGAATCGTGATCAAGCGGCCTCTAGCGCCCCCAGCGCCCGCACCGGTACCCGCAGCAACTACTCCGGCACCCGAGGAGGACGAAACGGAAGATGAAGAAGAGAGTGGAAACGGCAGCATCATGACGGGCGCAGATGAGACGGGATCGGAGAGCATGACCCCTGGCCCTATTTTCTCGGCTTCGACGCGCCGTCCTCTGCCCATCTCTCAAACTTTAGCCATCTCACACGGGCTCATCGTGGATCCTCGGACGCAGATGCTGGACACAGTGATAGAAAGGGCGGTGGAAGAGGCTGTGGCGCATCATCGGTATCCTACGGCGTACGCCCTCAAGACGCTCTACGATGACCCCAGGTTCCGGGTTGTTGCGGAGAAGGTTTTCACGCAGACTGCAGATGCCGGGATACTCAAAGAATTTGCAGAGATGCTCCATCAAAAGAAGAAGGAAGCAAAAAGGAAAAACATGGGCTTGAATTATTTTGAGAATATGACGGCCATGGGCCAGACGCCGCCCCAGCCCCAGCGGGCCTCTTACGGCCATCTTGTCAAGTTTGACATTTCCGCCGTGCGACGCTATCGTGATGCGGTTGAGCAGCAAAGAGCTGGATCCGGTGATGTTAAGCAAGAAGAGGAAGCCAGTCATGAAGGCGCTCCGGAGCGGGTCCGTGAGCTCCAGCAACAGTCTTCTGTTGTCCAGCAACAATCGTTGCACCAGCACAATCAGCAGGATCTCCAATACCGCCAGCGGCTCCAACTCCAGCAGGAGCAACGGCAGCCTCAGCACTACCAGCCAACATACCCTGAACCTGGTCCGCACCCCAAACCCAACCCTGAACAAGGACCTCAGCCAGAACAGCCAGTGACAAGACCCGAACCCGAATTGGCACCCACATCTGAGCCTGCTCTTGAACAGCTTCCGCTCGACCCTCAACTTCTTAATCCTCCACACCAACAATCACCATTATCTCCACAACCACCATCACCACCACAACACAAACAAAAACAACAAGCACCTCAGCCGGAGTTGGTTTCTAACCCCGTGCCAAGGATTTCATTCAGAGGAGGCAAACTTGACAAGGAAGAGCAAGAGTACGAAGATCAGCAATCTCATTCTGACCCACCTCTCGATCTTTCCTCATCTCACCTGGAGCAGGACCCGGAAGAAGAAGGGGAGAAGGAGCAGGAGCTATTGCTGGATTCGAAGACGTCTGCTACAAAACCTGCGCTTGCACTCGCGACTGTACTCGCGCCTGCATCACCGGAACCGGAACAGGAGCAGCGTCCGCCAGACCATGAGCAGGAAGCTGAGGGTGGAATCCGAGAAGTTCATGTCCGCAAGAAGCACAAATCACCAAAGAAACCTGAATCAGCAAAGGCAAAGATGGTCGTCAACGGGGTGAATGGAACGGCCAAGTCGGTTTCACCGAAGAAGAGGGGCGGCGAGCTCCATCTCAAGCTCGTCGTCGTTGTCGAGCGCACGATCGCTCTCACCACCGGCAGACGAGTACGATGGAGACGGGCTGGGGACGAGCTTTGCCATCTCGGCCACATCCTCTCGTGCCAGCCCCGCGCCCATCGTTTCTCCTCCCGCCGCCGCGGTCGATTATGCTGCGAGTGGAGCTGACAATGGTGTCAAGGGCGGCAATCATGATGCTGCTGCGCCACGCCCAATCACGGTTCGTCGCCGCATCAACGTGAGGAGGAAGGGGAACGTGTCACCTGCTCTCCCATCACCGGCGTCACCCACGGGTAGGCAGAGCGATTCGCTGGATCCCGCTATTGGACGTCCATACGAAATGCCTGCCGTCGTCGACGCGCCTTTGTTCCCCAATCTGAACTCAAAGAAAGGCTCAAAGTCGGGTGTTCAAGGTGTTGTTTTTCCTAGCAAGGTTGGGCGGATTGACGAGAACGACCCCAAGTATCGCCTGCGACAGAGCGCCAAAAAGATTACGGCCAACTACAACAAGCCGTTCCCCGAGAGCTTTACCAGAGAATCGTATCCCTCGGAGGAACCTTCTGTGGAGGTGGAAGAGATGCTGGTGTCTCCGTCTTTGACGCGACCCATGAGCTCAGCGGCACCGGAGACGACAACGCGTGCTACCTCTGTCTCAGCCGAAGGCCGGAGCACGCGTGCATCGAGGAAGCGGTCGCATGTTGAACTGGAAGACCAGCAGTCGTCACCTACGGCGGCTGCTTTCCCTGCATCGGACGTTGCGTCGACGGCAGCGAACTCGAGAGCAGGGACACCTGTGCTGCGACCGGCGAAGAAGCCAAGGACGGGCTTGAGGGTTAAGAACTCGTAAGTTATTCACTGCTCCCTTTTTATCTACATGTCCATCTCGGGTCTCCTGCGACAGTTCGTCTCTTGTGCATCTCTTGCTCCGTCCCGGAAATGCCACTGCCTGCCAGTTACGAGTGGACTTGGCAGGGTGGTTTGATGATCAAATTTTCTCGCTGGCGTCCAGTGTCACCAGAGTCTGCCTACCTTGGCTTGGTGTCCTCATCATCGTGTGGCTATGCTCAACACTCCAATTGTCACTATATCTGATTTTCACGTTGCTAATTGTTCTGAATGCAGGCCGATGAAGAAGAAGTCGTCCGCGGCCGGCATCCCGCGGGCGAGCGGAGAGCGAAGTAGTCCGACTGTCACAAATGGCAACTATGCCAAGGAGGTAAGAAGACATTTCTCGTCTGTCATCTTTCCCTCTATTCCGTTCCTGCCTTTTCATGTGTTATGTGTCCGTCGTTTGTGCGTGGCTGGGCTTTCCTATTGGGAAGCGAAGCCAGAAGGCGGATGGTGCTGGGCTTGCTGGGCTCGCCTGGGAGGGGGGCGTTTGGCTAGCTCGGAACACAGATTGAACTGGATTTGCACTGCGGCCTTTCGCTCCTTTCCAGGAGGCCCTTTTTCCCACTGTCTGATCACCCCTCCCATTCACTCGGCTACCTACCCTACACAGTATCTGCTGCCCTGCCCTGCCTGCCCATCCCCCATAGCATAACGTACACCCACTCATCATTCCCTCCCGTCATCCCCC